AAGAGGTTGAGCAACGTGTATCTAGGGGCTATATTGGACATTCGGTTGAGCTGCTGTGATCCGAAGAATACTCACCGACGCCGTCACTGGCCCGGGCGATCTGAATGAAGGCGTAATCATTGTGGAGGAGCGCCGTCTTGTGAAACCCAATTCTGCTGGTTGCAGTGACTCATAGTACCGCGCATTAAGTTTCGAGATTCACGATGTTAAAAGTGCATGCAATGCAGTTAAAACTAGAACCTGGCCGATCTACATCGCCCTGTCGCAGGGCCAACTGCAGATGTTCGGCGTGTGTGCATGACGTACTACCCTTGCCGTGCGACAAGGACGGGGCACCTAGAGGCATCTGCTTTTTCTAGAATAATATTCTCTCGCCCCACAGGACGGAACAATTGTCCGGCAGGGTGTAGACTAGACAGCTCCAAGAATGTTTTGACGGTGATTGCAATCGGTATGCGCATTGTGTATCCTATCCAGTACCTACCTAGGTACATATTTTCAGCGGAGGGCCCAAAGTAGAGCCCTCGAGCATGGAGCTTGCAAGCGAGAACTGCTACATGCGCCGAAACGAACACAAACTTATGAGAAACTGATAGGCCCTGATTTCCTATGCATTTCAGAACATTTCAGACTGAAGCATGCGACAAACCGAAGGCTGGCGTTTCCGGTGAGCTGGGAAGTACACACGTGCATAGGCTAAAGTGACTGCATGCATGTGCTTCGTGGTACCTTGCACTGCTTGGGCTGCGAAATCCCACAGCGACCGCAGAAATCAGTTAGAATGAGGCTCAACTGCTCCCGTACGGCCGATTGTCCACGATGCCGCCCACCCATCATGCGCAACACCCCGTGTTTACTCATCGAGGTCTACCAGCGTCTAGTGAGGTTCATTCGATCCTGTTTCGATGAACCCCACCTATATTATCATCGATACCCACGTTACTTTTGCAATTCGGCCTCGATGACATAGCAGAAGAGCCATTTGTGAGGTTATTACTGACTTGCTCACCTCTCTGCGAAGTTCACACGCATGGGCGCGGCTTCATCACCTATAGCTTCCAGAGTGGGCGCAAGATTGTGTTATTGTGTTGGATCGCGACCTTAATGACATGCAATACCTCCCATGGCTGTAGTGAAGTCATATCACAACAGGAACGGCTATCAATCTTGTGCCAAAGGTCAAGCTGATGCTTCACCACTTGCGGCCCTTCTCTCCTGCAACCTGGATATCCCTTTGGGCCTGCAGAAGACGTTGTCGGAATGGTATGTCGTGTCACCTGTCAGTGTCATACTTGGTAAACGCATCCCGAGCGATCAGGGGGTCGGTAATCATGGCACACGGCAGTTGACAAAACAGCTCAGCGTTGGGATTCTACCAGCTAGAACGAACATGTGGCTTGATGTTACGAAAGACCTTTCAGATTCTTTACAGCAACACGTGCGGCATACCCACCTTGCCCTTGTGCCCTGCAAGTGACCCTCATCAGGCCACTCTCACTGCGCCTTCTTCGCCTTCGCCTGACCGCCCCTAAATCCCATGCCATAAACATACACCAGACTGCCGCCTAGGTACGCCGCGAACATTGTCGCTGGTAGCGCAATGACACTGCTAATCAGGATGTTGGTATCGCTCGGCATCATGCCGGGATTGCTCCTCCGTGTCCACCAGTTGAAAGCCGCACCCAAAACCGTCACGTCGTTGATGACAGCGTGTAGCGCGCCCACTTGTGCCTTCCTCGACTTCAAACCATCGCGCTTAACTAGCGGTATAAACTCGTACATGCCGGTCGCGACCGCCGGGGCGGAGAAGAGGAGCGTGAGGAGCGTGGTATAGTACGAGAGAAGGGGGAAGATGGACGGGTCTATGGCGATGTCGAAGATTTTGACTGGGGGTTTGTTAGATGTGTCTGGCTGGATTGGGGAGGGTGGAGGTGAAGGACTTACAGGTCGAGGCCACGGCGCCGGAGGTTGGCGCATACTTGGAGAGGAAGTACACGGCATCCAGAGCACCTGTGAGAAAGGTGGTGGTGATGGGGAAGTGCACCGTCGCTGGGTGTGTTGGGTGGCTCATCTTGGTGTTTATCGATGATTGTTATTGCGAGTGATTTTACTGGGCGATGGGCGGATGGATGAAGGTATATTTCACGTCGCTGGAAGATGGACTGTGTGCGCCGCAGGTGCGGCGGAGAGCCGGACGCCTCGTGCCCTGTGCAAGGGCGCAAACATCTTCGGCTTACGCTGTGTCGTCATTGATTCCGGACTCAGAGAGGTGTGCCGCGAGAGGGTGGACAAACACGCGACTGGCTCGCGTGGGGCGGGCGGATATCGGGAAGGCCGTCAACGCTTCCGAGGTTTCCTGAGTTGTGATTGGCTGATCAAAGCGCACTGGGCACATCGGACTCCCGTCCAACTCGATTTCAACCTGAACACTGAACTCTCCTATAGTAGGAAGTTTTTTCTAAGCTCGATAAATCTCAAACAATGCTGTTCGGTGTTCCGCGTTTAGTGAGAACGGTGCGGAAGTGTCGGAAGCGGAGTACAAACGTTCCTTCACCGCGTTCCTCACATTCATCTGGACAGGTTGCATCTCCACTCGTCATCTCGTTCCGTCGCATTCCTGTCAGAAAACTTGAGTATCAAGAGTTATGTTCCTCTCAATTGCATTATTAGATCTCGTTTGGCTTCCATGCTGTTGAAGCAAGACCAGCATGACGCTTGGTCTGCGACGCGACTGACCATCGGCAAGTGAATGCACACGGTCTAGTGCGAGATGTATTCTCGCCAAGTTCCTAAACCCCTAAACCTATCTCGGTCGCAGTACCAACAAGACCAAACACCAAGCTCACAAGGCTACAACATTTGTTGCTGCTGCCTATCGCGCGATGGAACCCGGTTGCATATATGCACATGTGTCCTTTAATACCTCCCATCATAAATGCGCCGTTCGCCATGACTTTGCTGTTGGAATCTCTCCGACACCAACTCCAAAGTTGACACGACATAATGACGACGGAAGCTCCATCACAGCAGGTGCAATCTCGCCTTCTAAGCCTTCCCCGGGAACTTCGCGATAAGATATACACCTATTACCTACAGGTACCTAGAGGCTACGTCCACTCTCCCATCACCAACAAGCTTCGGTGTTCCAGTGGCCAAATCATCGATATCAGCTTGATGTAGACCTGCAAGATGTTCGCTAGCGAGATGCGAGATCTGCCCCTCAGGGTAAATGAGGTGGCCTTCAAGCCTTTTCAAGGGATCAAGACCTGGCCTGAAGGGTCCGACATCTGGGGTGCATAGTCGCAGGCTGGCAAGTATAACTTCTTGTTAGGGCGGCTTCATCTACTTCAGGAAGAGATGTTCGCGTTGGCGGCGACTACACATGGTCCGTCAACCTTTGTTCTTATCTCGCATCTACCACTACCGAATGCTGCTTACGGTCCTGCTATAGATACCACATCAGTCACGAGACATATCTCGCAACGTCATCCTGAAAGCTGCATAGGCGACATTATGGCACGTATCATGAAACATGCAAATAAAGACTATGTCCCCCTCGCAGCTGTTATAGGCGACCCGCAGACGATGACATACTATAATCGCGAGGTTATACAGGGGAGCCTCATACAACTTACCTCGCATGCCGGCTTTGCAGACCGGCTTAGATCGCGGGGCTGGTTTATCGACATCCTCGGCTTCCTCACCTCCTCACAACCACCGCTCTCACGCGGTACCCACTTGGTCCAGTGGGAAAAAAGATCGACTGCTTGGTTCCGTGTCGGGAAGGATCCAGTCTTCAAAGCCGAACATGATGTACGCTCTGCAGAACAACTCAGCCTCACGCGCCTCGAGGAAATGCGATTTTTCGTGGCTAAGACCAATTGGCAACCTTGGATTGTAGCTACGGAAGAAGAAATGACCAGATTGCGAGATCTGTTCGAGACGCCATGTCCGAAAACCTGGTCCAGCTATGAAGACAACCTACCGTCTCTGCAATACTTCCAGTCGGCCGCGTCACAAGCCATCCGCTTTGTGGATATGCTCCAAACCCAGTCTCGAAAGCAAATACGAAAGATCAGGATTTTGGAAGACGAAAAGTGCGCAGCGCTGCCACAATGTCATTTGCGAGGATTGCTATCCGTCTCTGATGAGGCCCCTGGATTGTCTGTGGATAGACATGTTGACCTCTGGCGATGCGTGTAAGTAGTGCAAGCCACCTTCTTGGCCAAAACTCCGCTGACCACTGGGTAGATTCCCACATGACTACGCGAAGCTCGCGGAGATGATTGGATCACAGCACATGGAGGATTGGTGGGCGGATTGCAGAGTATCTGATGCCGTACTTCGCACCATCACTTGGATCAACGAAGCGACTAGCTTATCTTGGGGTCGGAATACCCATCCACCCTTCAAGACCAAGCTCATTGGACCTTTTGACACCGTTCAACTCGTATGGAACAAAGTCAGAGCTGTCGCAGCATTATATGCTGCAGCTATGGCGTGTACGCACGACCAACTTTCTCCATTCCCGACGCGAGATGATCTTGCACTAGCTTTCGCGAACGAGGGGGACGCTGCTTGCAGCGACCCGGAATTGCTTCCTACGTCAGTAAAGCATATCCTTTCGGGCAACTCCCTTGTGCAGTTCCCGTGCATCGTAGGTACCTTGGATGAGTTCGATAAAGAATGCCGGAACGTTTCTATGCTACTACGAGATAGACCCAAAGAGGATTGGGAAGCGTACCGGAACAGCCTACTAGAAGGAATCATTGAGGAAGAGGGAATGGACTTCAAGACCGTGCAGTCTCGGTACGCGGATCCTCGCCCCCGCGCTGTCTGAACGTCATCTTGTACTGCTCATCAACAGGCCATCAACTCAGTAGTTCGCATGTCACACAGCATTCACATACGAGTTCATCATGTTGTACGGTAGTCTTACCCATTACTAGTAGTAGAAGGTCATATCCACATTTTCATGCTCCACGCTCTCCAATGTGATCTTAGTACGAAAAGTACCTTGCATCAGGCACCGGCGCACGATCCAACTTGAAGTACCCCGGCTGCAGCTTCTGAAACACCTCTTTCGGATCATACTTGCTCGCAACAGTCTTCATCTTGCTCTTGCTGTCCGACCCATAACTCGCAATGACGTCCTGGAACATCGCTGCGTAGTTCATATACACCCAGTCATTCTGCACACCCAGCTTCACCGCGTCGCTCTTGATCGCCTCCATGATATCTGACATGACCTGGTACACGGTATCATCGTCTGCAGCGTTGTTCCAAGAGCACGCTAGCTGGATGATGTGGATAGGGCTGCCGTTGGCGTCGAAGCCCATCGCGCTGCCGCCGTTGCGGGTACTGCCTTTGAGGGAACCGTCGGTGATGTGCTGCCAAATGAGAACAGGATATGCGCCTTCGACGGCGGAGAGAGCGCCAATCGAATCGTAGAAGATGTCCACAGAGCGTTGGGCAATCTCGTAGGAGGCTTTGACTGAGATAACGTAATAGACCTCACGAAGCCCATACTTGTTGGTAGCTTCGTTGTCGATCACGTAAGAAGCATGGCCTCGCGTTTTCGTGCTATCAGCCACGGCGGTGATGTTGTAGAAAGGTGCGAGGATAGCCGACTCGTTACCAGCTGGTGCGCCGTACCAGAGTTCGGTTGACGCAAGCTTCACGCCCTTGTCCAACCAGGCAACCCAGCTACCGGCCTTGGGGTCTTGGGCCGAGTTGAACGTGAGGTCCATCCACGCCTTGATCACATCCGGGAATTTGTCCTCAGTGAAAGTGCGGGTCCCTCCCCAGATCTGATCATTGTCGAGGGGTTTTGTCGTCAGGTTGAAGCTGGTTACGATGCCGAAGTTATTGCCGCCACCGCGAAGAGCCCAGTAAAGGTCTGGGAAGGTCGTTGGGCTTGCCGTTACCATGATGCCGCTTGCCGTGACAATCTGATCAATGTTAGAAGAGCGCGATGTCGTGGGGTTGCGCAGCGAACTTACATCGAAGCTAGCGACGTTGTCACAAGCTAGGCCGTACGCATTCGTGAGGAACGATATGCCGCCACCGAGGGTGAGTCCACCAACTCCGATATCACCAATTCTTCCAGATACGACTGTGACGCCGGTGGTCGACAAAGCGGTAAGCACATTACCCCATACATTCCCTGGTTGGACTGCGACGGTCTGCTTGTCGTCTGAAAGCTCGATGCCCTTCATGTTCTCGAAAGATACAGTGATGCCTCCCTCGATAGTAGCTGCGCCGGCGAACGCACTGTGGCCACCTGACTTGACGGCAAACGGACACTTTGATAGCCGAGACAGAAGTACCACTACCGAAACAGCGGCCGGGCTCGAGGGCTTGAAGATACAGTATGGCCTGACCTCGGCCGAGATTCCAGACCAGAAGCTGGATGTGAACGTGGAGTAGCCGACCTCATCCTGGAACTCGACAGATTTGTTGCCATAGACGACCTCCAGCGAAGAACACTGTCCGTGATTTAGCCTTAGCTTTGCGCTACTTGCTTGAAGGTACTCACGGCGATGTGGCAGGCCAGGTTGGATGACCGACCTACAAGGCCGGCTAACTCTGGCAGTGCGGAGACATTGACACCTTGATTAAGAAGAGCCTCGGTGACGCTGAAGTCGGCAGGCTCAAAAATCTGAGACACCACGGACGAGAGCAATGTCGCAAAGGGGAACAGCAGCCGCATGGCGACTAGTTTGGGGATCAGAAGAGACTACAGGATTCTCAACGAAGGAAGCGCGAAGGCCAACTTTATAGATGCACAACGGCTTGGGGTTATCTTTCTCATTTGCAAAAGCCCACGTGAAGAGCGTCGAACCGCGCAAACGAACTTGAGCTGCTGCATGCCCAAAAGCCAGCGCAGGGGTCGGGTCGGTTGTAGCCTAGCCCTCTGCACGCGTGCCGTACCGCATGCCTAGTGGTGAGATTATTGCCGTCAGGCCGCGGGGAGGAGACTTGGTCTTGTTGTTTGCCATAAAATTGCGGGATGATACCTAGGTAGGTGGAAGGCATGCCAGGTGGCTCCTCGCTATCGGACGCGTATGACCAGCGACGAGCATGTTGAGCAATACTCTTCCGTCGTGCATCGAGGAATATTGCTCATGGGTGTACCGTACGTAGCTACAGCTACGCCGCAACACTGCAGTTGATTGAGATTACATCGATCCTTTGGCAGGGTCGGGTGCAAGCAGCATCAACGGCTTCCCCGCCACTAAGCTCATTTCGTACATAGCGCTGCAAAGTTCGCGCCCGCTCTTCTTTCTACCAACCACCCCCTTCAATAGCTCGGAGGAGTGTTACTTCAGTACTGCGCAAGTATAATAGGTGGCAATATCTTCGTCGTAGTCTAGCGTCACTCAAAAGCCTCCCGGAAAGACTTCCAGTTTGGATATAAGTTCATATGCAATGGCTCACTAATGAAAATGGCAGCGACTAAACAGTTTATGATAATTATATACAAGGGAATAGGGTGTGTCAACACTAGGAGAACAGAAAGTTACAGCCTGCAAAAGCAAGGTCATACTTGCAAAGCCGAAGAAGTACACACTCTCACGGAAAGAGCATCTACTTGTAAAGGAAAGTGACCATGGAATGTGCGGGCACGCTGTTGCCGGTCATCGCATCAAGCCCGTGGCTCTCGTTGGTAATGAACGCAGACGCCTTGCCGGAAACACCAGTGATGCTGACAGTCGCTGCCGACGCACCCGTGTTCAAGACCTGCACAGCGACTGAGCCATCAGTATTCTTGAAAGCAGATGTCTTGAGCGTGCTGGTCCTGCCACCAGCGCTGACGCGAACGGCACCAGGCTTAACGAAGCGGCTCCACTGTGCCATAGCCCAGAAGCGCTTGGAAGGCGCAACAACTCCACCGTGGATGTCAATAAGAACGGAGTTGGTAGGGTTAGTTCCAGCGTCTTCGGCGCCCTCCCAATAGAGGTATGCAGAGAAGTTCGCGTCGACGAGAGCAGTGTAGATCTTGTTGGCCCAGGTCTGACCTTCGCCCGCTCCGCCGTTGGTGAAGTAGCTGGCTGTCCACTTGCCACTGAGATCCGCAGTCTCAGTCATCCACATATGCTTGGAAGTAGCGAAGGGGGCTGTGGGGTCGGAGCTGTAACCGTGGGTGGTAACGACGTCGTACAGGGAGTCGACCGCAGCGAGTCCTGGAAGCATGGCCTTCTGCGCGTTGTAGCCGGTGGCATCGCAGCAGGTGAGCTTTAATTTCAGACCAGAGGCCTTGACGGTGGGAGCGAGGACTTTGATGAAATCGGCGGCCTGCTGTCCAGTCGATCGCATGGAAGAGTAGGCGGTGCTGTAATCTATTAGTAACTGCTTTTGAGCGAAGACATATGAAGTACTTACGTGTAGTCGGGCTCGTTCAAGAAGCCGAGATGGGTCACGTCAATCCCCTCCTGCTTGTAGTATTTGACGTATTGCGTGAGGTAGTTGGCGTAAGCTTGGGTCCAGTTGCCGCAGGACGTGCCATCGACACCGCAAAGGCTTCCTCCCTGGGGCACGTTAGCCATCGCTTCCAATTTCTGTTTGGGTAGTTGTATTTACGTTTGAGTCTTTACCGTTCGTCTTCATGAACCCAGGAGCAGACCAAGCATCGGCGTAGATGGTCTTGAGGCCGCGGGCCTGCGCTTGCTTCGTCAACCAAACCTGGTTGTTGTCGGAGCCATCCCACTGGTACTTTGGTGTTCCAGTGGGCGATCCGGGGCTGTTGGGCTCGATAGAGAAGCCGCTAGATGGGCCAGAGCCGATGCCGTTGCGCAGGATGTTGAAGCCAGCGCCAGTAGTAGGATCGAAGAGAAGGTCGAGAGTCTGCTTCTGGGCAGCAGCTGCCAGAGACTTGATGTTTCCAGCGCGACCGTAGAACTCGGAGATGCCGAAACCGTCAATCGTTTGGAAAGTCTTACTGGAGTCCACGGCAATGGTTACTGCCTGACGGGGGTCGAGACTTGGTGCACAGAGAGCAACGTTGAAAGAAGCGAGGAAAAACGCCAGCTTGGACAGCATCTTGTCGGTTTCGTCTTGGCGAGAATGGAGTACAGGGACGAAGAGTTCAGTGTGAATTGAAGTCAATCGAGCAAAACTGAAGAACAGACCAGTGCTTAAAGAATGGAAGCCAAGGATTGATAGTGGAGTATTACGGGCAATGGACAGGACATGTATTTACTACCTCTCGCAGTCGTCCATGGATCTCGCATTCGCAACATGCTCGCATTCGTAAAACGCATTGCAAGAGAACAATCTAGAGTAGGCCCGAGATGGCACGGCCTGCCAAATGATGTCTTATATTCGGCCTCCATTGCGACACGAGGTTTTCCCGTCGAGGCGTCGCGGTTGCAGGTACTGAGGGTGCATGGGTGGAAGACGCCTAGGTAGACGTGAAGAAATGACAGGTGTTGCTAGTCGCGCTGTCTAAACGTTCTAGGGCATAGTGGCGTAGCGCTTGTGTTGTAGATAGACAAGGCTTGATGATCCTTTACGAAGCTTAGCAAGGCTTGGCCATCTTAACCGGTGGTGCAAAGTGAATGCACGGAACGTGCGGGGAGAACTACGTGTCCCATGCGCGAGCACCGCATGAATCCACCAATATGATGCGGCGTTCTATATAAATTATCCTGCTCATTATTACTTTTCCGGAAAATGTGTTTCGTTTCATAGGTCTGGCATGAACGAAGAGTAGAATTTCGCCGTGTGTCACGTGGTCCGATCGGAAACGATTGCTTCCGAGATCCCGAAGGCTGCACGATCTTGCGCACAGCATCGCCATCATCCACCCTTCTGACACCACAGATACTATCGCTCTCACCCTCATCATCGCTACTGGACCCACTATTTAAAGTCGTGCGCATCCTTATTCCATCACGCAACATCACCTCTTGTCACTTGTGGGGTTGGATTGCCGCTCCTTCACGGTCGCGACGCGCGGGGTCGGCATCTTCGTGTTGCATTGATGGGGAAGCGTGGTGAATGATCCATTCATTAATTCATAGCTACCGTGAGCATTATAGGATAGCCGAGAAAACCCCAATACTCTCATGACGCAGGTCCAGAAACGACCGTTGTAAGTAAAGGTTGTCGACAGAAGAGAAGCGCGCGTCGCATCCGACCATCTGAACTAAGCATATTACTGTAGAGGCGGAGGTACGAAGTCATTGCATATCTCACATGCATTTCGTCTAGCCGAAACTTCCTCAGTTCCGCTTCATCTGGAAACTTGGGCTAAACTTCGGGACTAGACTCATCGTCTTCATCCGGATCGTACCCTATACAGCTGCCGTGCCCTCGTACGGGTAGGAAGCAACCAGGGACTCTCGAACGACACGTATCGCAACTCCAAGATACTTCGACGGGCATACCCTCGGACCACCAGATTTCGAGGCCGCCGTACCATTCGAAGCACTCATCGCTGTAGAGCTGCAGCATCCATTTCTCCTCCTGACTCGTTTTGAACCATGACCTCCGATGCTTTGTTTGGAAGAGACTTTGCACATGTCGCTTGGTCTTTTGCCTTTCTTCAATACGATCGGTTGGTTCATCCAGTAGATCACGATAGAGGCTGACAAGATCGGGTGGCGCGGTAGTCATCTCCTGGTTCCAGAACCCGTAAGGAGCGGCGGGGTATATTGCGCGTTCGCGATGTTGTGTCATATCTGCTATGGCCATAAAGGGTACGGTTGCGAGATCAAGGCCGGAGTTGACTTCCGAACCGAGTGCTGAGAGCATCCTGGATATATCGTTGTTGAAGATCGTTTGGATTCTTTGCTGGCGATGCCCTGCTGAATGATTGTAGCGGTCTGCCACAGAAGCGTAGTGGGTTGCTTCTTCGTTGAGATATTGCTCGATCTTTTCGGATGCTGATTCGCGGATCCTAGAGGCGAACGATAGGGTGACGAACGGAGTCTTTACACCGAGGCCGCCATGGGATTGCGGTAGATAGATTATGGGCTCGAGGTCGAGAGAGATACTCTTCAAGCCATGTGTGAGATGCGGACTCAGCATTCTCGTCACGTATGTGGTCAGATCACTACCACCCAGTACGATAGAGTAGATACGTTTGTACGCAGCCTTGACGTCGTCGCGATGTGTTGCATCGAACACATTGGCAATGGGCCCGAAGAGCTTTGCCGCGTAGGTACCGACAGTGTCGTTCCATTCACGAACCCATTCGAGGACAGTTGAGCATGCTTTGAGTCTAGCTCCTACGTGGGTTGCGTACAGGGCGACTTTGACATTATCAACGCGTAGTTCTTCGGTTGTATCGAGGGACAATGACTCCGACGAACCCATGGTTAAGACTCCGATGGATAGTCCGCCAGTGGACAAAGTATCGCGCAGCTTCAACCCCATAGTATCGGAGAAACGGGCAGCTTCTTTCTCGAAGCCCTTGTTCTGAAGTTCGGTACCGACAAAGTGGCAGTGGTCATTCAGACGGTACATGTACGATTCTGTCGCTTTGCGCGCAGCAAGATCGAGGAAGAACAGTACAGCTTCGCTGAAGAACACTTCCAGTCCGTAGTCAACTGAGACTCCGCTCTTTGGTATTAGGAGCGTATTGGACTCGTTCGCTGAAGCTTTGACGCTCAGCATTGGCTCAAGAGCGCGAGAGAATAATGAGACGAAGACTCCCGGAACACCGAGGAACTTCAAAACCGTGACGATAGCTGAATGGGGAACTGTGGACGCGAATGAGTCGAACTCCAAAGTCGTAGCGTACGCTTTGCCGTCGAAAGCCTTTCGAAGCTTGTATTCCACGGCGAGCGTCTTGATCAGTCTTGCCTGCACCTCTTCAGACGGGACAATCTCGGGTACTTCGCCGTCCCTCTCGGGGAGACGCGACATGAAGAAGCGTCTCTTATAATCGTCTTCCCGTAGGCTGTTCAGGTCTTGGGGCGCGTTTGGCGGTGGTGGCGGTGGAACAGGGCTTCCAGCATACATGCTCTGGTTCTTCTTCTTGCTCCGACCGTACTTTTTCGATCTGAGCAGAGGTAGAGGAGGAGCGGGAGCGGGAATCAAACGAAAATCGTATGGTAGGGGCGGCGGTGGAGGCGACACATAAGTGCCGCATGCAATACTCATGGTTGCAGGACGAGGTGTGTCGAAGAAGAACGCACGTCTGTCGAGATCCGAGTCTGTCAGTGGAGCGCAGCGGAACAGATCGGACCCATGAACGAAACTCTTGAGGCATTCTTTCAAGTTTATGGCCCACCCAATTGCACAGCAATGCAGGAACAACATGTCGATAATGCCTACCTCGACGTGAACGTAGTGCTGGCCGCTCTTCTTTTTTCGTAAGTCGACTGGCAAGCCTGCTTCTGCGTTCCTGTAGTTCCAGTCGCGATAACTCATCATGTTCAAGGTCGCAACAAGCTCCCGCAGCGCATCGGGTGACTGTAGGTAGCTTGCGAGGGTGGCTTTCCGCTCATGGCTGATTTGTTCCGACTTCATCAAATCCTTCATTATCCACGTCAAGCGTTCCTCATCTATCTCGTTATCCCCGACGACTAGATCATCTCCGTATGCTTGCATCCCGTCTCGGATCGATTGTAGGTGTTCGTCTTCGGACGTGAACAAGCTCGAGAGATAGATCTCGATCGATTCGCTGTCCACATTCGTCGGCTGGGAACAAGCTTCCTGAAACTTCTCGAGGACCTCTTCGCTTTCGTTGTCGACTACTTCGAAGTCCTCGTCGTCCAGTGCTACAGCCTCAAGCTTGGTAGCCGCCGTTTCGATTTTAGCCGCGTTCGTAGCTTCCTTGATGAGCTGTGCGTGTAGGCATGACACCTCCATGCGGTTGCGAAACCTGCTCAGTTTATCGCGGTGGCTCTTCTCCAGCCTCAACAACTTCTTTTCGGAGATCGCATTGTCATCCTGGGCTTGTTCGATGCATCGTTGGATGGTCTCCGTCAACCATTCGCCGTCCTCTTCGTCGAGCTTTGGCTCCAGATTCTTCAACTCGTCCAGCAGCCTTTCGAGACGTACGATGACACTTGATTGATCAGACTCGGTCACTTCAGAGAGGTATCGTCGCTCGAAAGACTTCTTGATGCGTTTGAGCTCTTCCAGGCGATGCTCGACCGCCTGCTGGACAATAGGCGTCAAGGCGAACGACGACATTGTGCTTTCGAGATGCCAAGTTCGGGCAAATTGCTGAGAACCAGGGCTAGATATGGAGGTCAGGCTTTGCCGTCAGCCTCCCCATTCTGCGCAACCGAATCCTGCGCAACCACGTAGGCAACTGCATGTTGAGAGAGCCACCAGGCAGCATATGTTTCACGAGCGAATGCGACGCATGTCTCTGGATACACAAGATTACTGTGCATGGTGTGGCAGGCCAAGCATGATGACCATCCAGTCGTGACTGCCGTCGCGTCCGCAATCGGGTTAGCTTCACATGTTTCCCCGCACTGTTCACCGGTCGCGACTGTTGCGCAATTCTCTTTTCAATTCTTCTCTCTCGGCACAACCAAGTCAACCTTTACGCTACGGCATCTAAGATTCTTGAGAGAACAGGTCCGTCGCCTATGAGTACACCATGCTGTGTCACGTTTGCGAAACCACCTTTAGCGAATTACTGGATTCTGTCCATGACATAGTCAATCATCACTCTTCCCATGCAAGCCTTACTTCTGCCGCGACCGAAGGTTGTTTCATCTGTTCTGAAATTATCAGACGTATCGCCGTGATGAGCTTTCCAATCGATCCACATTCTCTCAGCCTATACACCAGGTGGCACAATAATCGTGGCGGCAGAGGTTCATGGCCAAAGACCATCGAGGTGTGGATCTGGCACTGCGGAGTTTCGGACGTCTCGCAGTATGGCTCAATGCAGTCAAGCCATGCGATGGGATTTTGTTTCAGGCGCGTAGTTCTTGACAGCTCATCGGACGGAAAGGAAGCAAGGCTTAGACCAACAGCCTTGTCGCACAACACGAGCTCAGCGGAGACGATATCACAAATCATCGACTGGCAGGAACAGTGTACGAGAACTCACGATCTCTGCAAACAGGGCCGCGAAGAGGCATGGATGCCATCGCGGTTGCTGGAGATCAGTGATGTAGCTGGTACCGTAACAGTCCATTTGCGGAACCGTTCACAATTGCAGTGCAGTCCATATCTTACCCTCAGTCATTGCTGGGGCCCTACGGGTACTCAAAAGCTCAAACTGACCACCGATTCTCTTGGATCCCTCCGCAATGGCATTGCTGTATCTAGTCTGAGACCGACCTTTCGCGACATGGCTAATGTAACGCGGCGGCTGGGAATACGTCTTATGTGGATAGACTGTTTGTGTATCATTCAAGACGACATTGAAGATTGGAAGCACGAATCGGCATCGATGGGAAAGATCTACTCCAACAGCTGGCTAAATGTTTCTGCGAACGTGGAAGATAATGGCAGTTCCGGTCTCTTCATTGAACGGGATTCTGAGCATCTTGTGGACTACTTTCGCGCCCGGTCTGACGAAAACGGAGAGAAGATTGTGGTCGCAGTAACGAGAAATAATTCATGGAGGGATGAAGTCGAGGCATCACCCGTAAACCGAAGAGGTTGGGTAATACAAGAACGAATCCTATCGCCTCGTATCGTTCACATGTCTAATACAATGGCCTTATGGGAGTGTCGACAATTCCAGGCGTCTGAGGTTTCCCCCATTGATGGATTACCGGACCGAGGTTCTCCCAATAATTATAGTTACATCAAGCGGCTATGCTACGGGGCTCAATCTCAGAACCCAGCGGATGTGGAACTTGACTGGTGGCAGCTTGTGGGAAGATATACGATGTGCGGCCTCACGTTTGAAACTGATAGACTGATCGCTCTATCTGGCCTTGCATCGAAGGTTCACAAGAGGGCACAATGCGACTATCTGGCGGGCTTATGGAGTACTCATCTACCCTTGAACCTCTTGTGGTATCTCATGGTCCCCATGACTACTCGTTCAAAGATCTATGTTGCTCCCTCATGGAGCTGGGCGTCGGTGAATGGCCACATCTGGCCTCCAAGTTTGATCTGGCCGCCAAGTTCGCAAATGATTCGTCGAAGATATGCCAGAATGTCCAGCTATGAGACATCTCTAGCCAATCCGACGGATAAGTACGGCCAAGTTACGAGCGGAAAAATCGAACTACGAGCGCCCCTTGCAACCTTGGACTGGAGCGGCGTGCACGTGCAAAACACGTACCAGGCTGGACAAATAAACATATCAGTGCCTGATGGGTCTGGCAGGGTTTGCAAAATACTGGAATCATCATTCCATTCACCAATTCATACTCTCCGTTTTGATTATGAGGGATATGCAGAGCTTCACACGGCGTACATTGCAATCGTTCTCGACCATTCAAGCAATTTTGACTCTCACGGAGAACTCGAACATGACTCCTACGGCCTACAAGGGCTCGTACTCAGTCGCCTTCCTTGCTCGAGGTACATGAGAATAGGAGTTGCAGTAATGGAAATCCACACGGAACAAGAGCTAGAAGACATCGTCCGGAAGATGCCAGAACAAGACATCACCATCATCTGAACAACGAGATTCAAGGTTGCCGGATGTCTTGTCCAAGCCATATCGCTCTTAGTATCATACTTCTCGCTGTTCATTTTACTTCATACATGGAGTGCCAGGATGAATACAGCATAATCGATGGAGATTAGGATACATGTAGCGACACGCAAGTCTCATTCATCATGAACATGTACTTCATTTTGCAAGGACGAAAGTCTGCCGTCTAAACCATCAAGAAAAGAGTCCAAGAACGACACCTCATGTCACATCGTATCGTGAACACCATATCATAACCAAACACCATCACCATCATCCAAACACACAAGCAAAACACCACCCTTCACCTTCCCCTCACCCCCCATCAACGCCGCCCATAAGCACCCCCCTCATCCCTCCTCTCCGTCCTCTTCTGCGTCTTAAACCCCAAACTCCCCGCCTTCCTCCTCCTCCCCCCATCCCCCCCAATATCCTCACCCCTCTCTCCATCCCCCTCCCCATCCAACACCTTCCTCCGCCCATACAACTCCATATCCTTAGCATCATCATCATGCCTGCGATCATACTCGCTCTCCCGACTAAACAACGCCATCATATCCTTCATGGTCAAATTCTTGATGGCTTTACCGCCTTCAATAGCCGCGTTGGCGAGCTTCCGCTTGGCTTCCTGCAGCTCGAGGATGCGTTCTTCGACGGAGTTGTGGATGGAGAGGCGGTAGACGGTTACGTCGACGGTTTGGTTGAGGCGGTGGACGCGGTCTATGGCTTGTTCTTCTACGAACTGTTGGGTTACGTCAGTAAACATTCATGGCAACGTGAGAGATAAAAAAGTACATACCGGATTCCAAAACGGCTCCATAATAACCACCCGACTAGCAGCCGTGAGATTAAGCCCCAGACTCCCGCACTTCAAACTACACAGCAAAACTCTTGTACGCTTATCTTCACGCAGTTTCTGTAAGCTGGCTTCGCGGAGGTCGTTGCGCATGCTGCCGTCGTAGCGGGTGAAGTTGTAGCCTGCGCGCTTGAGGAAGGGCTCGATGAGGTCGAGCATGGATGTGAACTGTGAGAAGACGATGACTTTGTGCTCGCCGGTTTCTTTTTCGAGGATGGCGAGGAGTTGGCGGATCTTGGTGGAGGGGACGAGGGAGGAGGCGTTGTAGGAAGCTTCTGAGGTTGAGGAGTCTGAGGCTTCAGAAGCGGAGTCAGTTCCTTCTGAGTCGGTTGCGGAGTCGTCTGAGCCACTGTCACTGCCGCTGTCGCTCTCGCTGTCGGCCTCCTCGTCATCGGAGTCAAGGCTGATGACTTTTTGCGGCTTCTTTGATAGGTTCTTACGAGCAACAGGTGCGCCGTCCTCGCTATCGGTATCGTGAACGACGAACGAGTCGAGGTTGCTCTTGCTTTCATCCTCAGTCTCAGATGCATCAGAGTCCACAGTAGCAAGAGTATCGCCACCGCCTTCTGCGTTCTCATCGTCGGTACCACCAGCCTTGCCCAGGTCTTCAGCCTGTTGTTGATCTTCAGGGACGAGCCACTCGCCCTCCTCTTCTTCGTCGTCACTGTCGACAACGACGCGACGGTTGCGAGAATGCTTTGCGGCGGTCGACTGTGGGGCTTCTTCTTCGTCATCGGAGTCCAAGACCGGCTTCGGTTGCCGGTGCTTCTTGCTCTTGCCGTCCTTGTGCTTGTGTTTGCGGTGTTTCTTCGACTTATGCCTGTCGATGGTTAGTATGTGGCATTACCGGGACTTTGATTGAGATAGGCTTACTTCTTCTTCACAGACCCGTTAAGATCTTCCTCGCACTCTGTACAACGTACTCCGCCAGCAGCTGTATTATCACTGTTAAGCGTGTTCTGACAGATATCACAGCGCTTAGTCGCAACGCTCAGCCCACCCAAGAGATCCGCGAGGTCATCGGCGTCATCTTTGGCTGCTTTGCGGGGAGTTTGAAGACCAGCCGCAGCATTTGACTTCGAGCCGGTTGTCAAAGCGTCCTTGTCATCCTTGACGTTGCTCTTCGTAAGGTTTGGATGATTGCAAGCCTGGCGCAGACGAAGTAGCAACACCAACGCCCCAATATAATCTTGCTTTTCGCCGCCCATCATCTCATCAAGACGGGCTTGTGTGCGGTCTCGTAAGCGGTCGTAGAAAATGCGCTCCTTGTTCGTGAACTCTCCTATGATAGTCTCGACGTTTCGCGCAACGATGTGGAAGGCTGGCCGCTCCTCGCCCTCCTTGGCTTTGCCGCCAAAGTTCAACGCACCCTCCTTTCGCAGCACGTCCTTTGTACGGCGCTTCATGAAAGCGCGCAAGAAGACTTGGAGTCGCTTCATGGCGAGATTGCCGCGACCGTTCTTCATTGGCTGCGCGATGGACTCCTTCCAAGAAGAGAGCTCACAGTAAGGCTGGATGCGGAGGAACTTTATCAGACTCTGTAGCTCGTCGATATTGTTTTGCATGGGTGTGCCAGTAAGACACCATCGATAATGCGAACGAAGCTCGTAGCAGGCCTTTGCCATCTTCGTTGTGCGGTTCTTGATGGTATGTGCCTCGTCCAGCATGATGCGATACCACGAGACGGCGAAACAGCCCTTCTTCAGACCGTCAGGGCCA